AAAAAAAAAAAAAATTCACTGAATAGGCTTAACAACAAACCAGAGTCAGCAGAAGAGTTGGGGAACTTGAAGACGCATCAGTAGAAAGTGTCCATTTGAAGAACAGAGAAAAAAACATTAAAGAAAAGTGAATAGAGATTTAATGAACAGAGGAGACATTATTAAATGGGCTAACATACATGTAACTGGAATCCTAGAAGGTGAAGAAAGAAGGCAGAAAAAATTGAAAGAAATAATGGACAAAATTGTTCACATTTTAAGAGAAGACAAAGAGGATTACTACTAGAAATAGGAAGATTTTATAATGATAGAAGGAGAAATTAATCTGGAAGATATTACAAATATAGCTGTGTATTTGCATAATAATTAGACTTCTAATACATAAAGCAAAATCTGACCAAATTCAAGGGATAAATAGACAAATCCACAGTCATAATTTGAGATTTTAACACCTCTCCTCTTAGTAATTGATAGTACAACTAGATATAAAAATTGCTAACAAAATAGAAGATTTGAACAAATCTGTCGACCGTCCTTTGATTTTTAAAGCCCATCAGTGGCAGAATGCACACTTTTTTCAAGCATTCATGAAGATACATCATATACTGGGTTATAAAACAAGTCAATACATTTCAAAAAATCAAAATCTTTTTTTTTATAAAGATTTTATTTATTTATTTGACAGAGAGATACACAGCGAGAGAGGGAACACAAGCAGGGGGAGTGGGAGAGGGAGAAGTAGGCTTCCCACCAAGCAGGGAGCCAGATGTGGGGCCCGATACCAGGACCCTGAGATTATGACCTGAGCCGAAGGCAGACGCTTAATGACTGAGCCATCCAGGTGCCCCTCAAAAAATCAAAATCTTAACAAAGTATGTTCTCTAACCAAAGAGAATTAAATTATAAATTATTAATAAGATATCTAGAAAAGTTCAAATTATTTAAAAATTAAGGAGCATCCTTCCAAATAATTAAATATCAGTAAAAAATTACAAAAGAGAAATATTTCTAATTGAATAATAATAAAGATACAGCATACCAAAATATGTAGGGTGGAGCTAAAGAATTTGTAAAGGGGAAATATATTGCTGTAAGTGGTTATATTAGAAAAGAAAGGTTCATAGTCAATGATCTAAGCTTCCACCTTAAAGTAGGGAAAAAAAAAAAAAAGATGAGCAAAATACAATAGATAGGACCCTTGAATAAATTGTATCACCTGTCTAGAGTTCCCCTTTTACATTGCTGGGTATTGGGGTTTTGTGCCTTCTCATTTTTTTGTTTTTGGTCAGTCTTGGTATGTGTTTATAAGTGTTTATCAATTTCATTAATCTTTAAGAATCAATTTGTTAATCTTAATATATTTGCTTTTCATTGCATCATTTTCTACTTTCAGTCTTTCTATCTTTATTTTTATTTTTTATTTTTTTACCATTTATCTTGATTTTCTGGAACTTTCCAACTTCCTTGGTTGGATTCTTAATATTTAAACCTTTTTTATTTTATATAAATATCAAATTAAGGGTATAAAATTTCTTTTATGAACTGCTTTAGTTGAAGTGCACATATTTTTGATATGTGGCTTTATTGTTATCATTCAATTCCTAATGCTTTTTAATTCCCATTGTGATTTTTTTCTCTGACCCATGAATTATTTAGAAAGTGTTTTCTTAAATTCCAAATATACGATGATCTCCTAGTTATCATTTTCTTAATGATTTCTGTCTCTGGTTACCGTGCTCAAATCTGTGAGCCTTTATTCGATTTCTCAGCTTCTTGGCCTCTTGCAGAACTGGTAGTGGATCCAAGAGGAATGGCCCCTAACATAGAACTCTTATCTAGTTCTCTTTTCATCTAAGATGTTCTCCTGATAATTCTCTTCACTGCCTTGTTGATTCTCCAATGCTTTCAAATTTTATTAGATGTTCTCAGCAAAAAGGCTTGATTCAAATTATCTAGTCTACCATTACCAAGTGCAGAACTCCTACTGATGCTGATTTTTTATTGTTGTGAGACATATAGAAAGAATAGGGATTGGAAGATCTCATGGATAGAGAGACCAGTAAAAGACAAAGAGTGTATAGTAAAACAAAACTTTGGCCAAAGAATAGAATGAAGAGGAGAAGGTGATACTTGTATTTGTAATTTATTGTTACATGACAAAGTGCCACAAATTTGGTGGCTGGGGTCAGCCAAAGCTGGGGTCTCATTTGAAGGTACAACAGAGGAAGGATCCACTTCTAAGTTCACTTACATGGTATTTGGCAGAATTCAGTTCTTTTGGTGCTATTTGACTAAGGGCCTCAATTTCTAGCTGATTGTGGGTTATGCACAGTCACATAGGGCACCTCACAACATGGCAGCTTGCTTTATCAAAGCCAGCCAGTGAGAAGAGTGTTGGCAAGATGGAGTTATAATATTATGGAGTATAATCACAGAAATGGCATTTCTTCATCTTTACCATGTTCTTTTGGTTAGAAGCATGTCACAGTTCCCACCCATAATCAAGGAGAGGGGGCTATGGAGGGATGTGAATACCATAATGTGGAGATCATTCAAGGTTATCAAATACTTTGCTACAGTATTCCTTTATGTATATAAAGTTCTCTCTTCTTCTGGAAATATTAGAGAAAATGGACAGCAGACTAGAAAGAAAAGAGTTAATATATTACAACTTCTGGAAAAGAAGCAAATAAAATATCAAAGTCTAATTTACAAGGAAAACAAGGTTAACTTTCATAGAAACAAACTATGATTAGACAGAATTTAAACTATGGAAAAATTCCTAGCCTCTTTTAACATTTAGCTTGGGAGTAAGAGCCCCTTGAAGCTATATAGTTGAAAAGAGAAACATGTTCACATGGAGGTCTTAAATGCCTATGTAGAAAAACAAAACAGTATTTGTGCATGATGTGAATTGGTTTTGCCTTCTATAGTCATCAGAGAATTTTCCATGATTTATGAGTTTACTTCATTAATATTTGATATATGTGTTCCAAATTGATTTTTTATTAAACATTTCAAGGTAACTTTGAGGGTAGAGGCTGTATCCTATTTATTGAAGTATGTAGTACCACTAGTGCTGGGAAATGAGGAAAAAGTAGGCCACTTTGTTCTAGTCTTTGAAACTAATTATCTAGTTATCATAGAGCTCATGAACAATTGCATAATTAAAAATGCTATATATCAATTTCACATACACATATTAAAATGCACAACTATGTTAATAGATTTTCTATTTTTTTTAATAGGATCCAAATGAAGATACAGAATGGAATGAAATTTTAAGAGATTTTGGCATTCTTCCTCCAAAAGAAGAGCCAAAAGATGAAATTGAAGAAATGGTTTTACGTTTACAGAAAGAAGCAATGGGTACAGTTATGCATTTAGTGGGCTGGATGAAGGAGATAATGATAGTGAAAATGTATTTCATAAACTTAGAGGGAGAAAGGACATTAGAAATCCCACCCATACTTTTGAAATTAGGGTACTGACGCGTAAAAATTTTAACTGATGTGTTGAATGTCACAAGCTAGTTAGTAACAGAGCTGAAATGTCCTGGTATCTAACCTAGTGAGACTTTGCTCTGCCATATTCCTCTAGCTCATGATTACCTTCTATTTTGATTATGTAAATAGTATGTTTCATTTGTCAAGATTTTCAAGTACTTGGAAAATCTAAATTTATGGGGTCTAATTGATGTTCACATCTACTTTAAATGTAGCTTGGTAGTTCTGTGAACTTGGAGGGAAATTCACACTTTAAACAAACCTGAAGTAGTCAGCCACAGAATAGATTTATATCTGCAGGAGAACCTGCAACATTAAAGATATTCTTTATCTCCATTTATCTATAAATTGTTTTTTCTAGCCATGTGACTATAAAGTAAAAAATGGTTTTTAAATAATTCAATTATCTAAAATTTATTTTGTTTTAGTTAAACCATATGAAAAGATGACTCTTGCACAGTTGAAGGAAGCTGAAGATGAATTTGATGAAGAAGATATGAGAGCTATTGAAATATATAGGTACAGTGATTTATTTGGGCAACTTATGAGTTTTTGAATGGAGAAGTATAAGAATGAAACAAAAAAAAGCCCTATTTTTGCCTACAGAATAGATTTTAAGAGAACAAAACTAGTTTTTAAGAACATTTTAGTTTTTTTAAAAGATTTTATTCATTTATTTGAGAGAGAGAGAAAGAGAATATGAGCAGGGGCGGTCAGAGGAAGAGGGAGAAGCAGACTCCCCAGTGAGCAGGGAGCCTGATGGTCCTTGATCCAAGGACCCTGGGATTATGACCTGAGCCGAAGGCAGATGCTTAACTGACTGAGCCACACGGGCACCCCAGGAACATTTCAGTTTTTTTTTTTTTAAGTAAGCTCTACACCCAACATGAGGTCTGAACTCACAACCCCAAGATCAAAAGTCACATGCTCAGGCGCCTGGGTGGCTCAGTGGGTTAAGCGACTGCCTTCGGTTCAGGTCATGATCCTGGAGTCCTGGGATGGAATCTCACATCGGGCTCCCGGCTCAGCAGGGAGCCTGCTTCTCCCTCTGACCCTCTCCGCTCTCATGCTGTTTCTCTCTCTCTCTCTCTCAAGTAAATAAATAAATAAAATCTTTAAAAACAAAAACAAAAAACAAAAGTCACATGCTCTACCAACTGAACCAGTCAGGTGCTTTTAAGAACATTTTAAAGCCAACTCACTTTATATAAGGTGGAATATTTTTCTTGAATATTTTTGCCTTTGCTTAAGTAAAAAACTATCCAATAATATACAGTGGAACTTCATCAAGTTACATATAAGTAAAGTGGAAAATATCAATAAAAGACCAATAAGAGCCACAGTTTTCCTTCTAAGATAATGTCTATCATATAATAAATAAATACCAGTCATAAATACATTTCTTTCAGAAATTAGAACAAGTACGTATATTTCCCAACTTATCCTGATATTGAAGCCAGATAAATTTTAAAAACAGAATATCACAGAAAAATATCTCTTATGAACATAGGCACAAAATTTTTAAACAAAATATTAGCAAATTAGGGCCAGCAATTAAAAAAGAACAATACATTCTGATCAAATGAGATTGGCCCCAAGAATGCTTTGTTTTGACATGAAAATGAAAAAAAACCTAAGTGAATTGAGTTAGAAGCAGCAATAGTCTGGTAGCATGAGTATACCTAGATCTTAGCTCTTGTTTTATAAATGCTATTCTTTAATAACAGGAACCAGTGTTCTTTGGAGAACACTATGTGAGTTGAGTAATTACAATATGAGTCTGGAGCATCTTGTGGTACCAGAAAGTAAAGAAATACTAAAGAAAAAATGTCTTTTAAATGTATAGGAGCCAAACTAAAGACTGGAAAATCGCCAGAGTTGGAACAACTTGAACAACAAAATAATAATCATAATACTAAATGACAAAATAAATATCCAGGAGTCCCTAGTGATATAAATCAATAACTTAATACATGAACAAATTCAGAGAAAGTAACACTTCTTCCTCACTGAAAATTCCAATATGTAAGTGTTAGATGGGATGAGGAAAATAGAAAAATCACCATCAAGAGCGCCTGGGTGGCTCAGTTGGTTAAGTGTCTGCCTTTGGCTCAGGTCATGATCTCAGGGTCCTGGGATCAAGCCCCCCATCGGGCTCCCTGCTCAGTGGGGAGTCTGCTCCTCACTCTCTCTCTCCTTCTGCCTCTCCCCTCCCCCACTCGTGCTCTCTCTCTTTCTCACTCTCAAATAAATAAAATCTTAAAAAAAAAAAAAAAGAAAGAAAGAAAGAAAGGAAAGTCACCATCAAACACCAGAATAATAATCTCCATGGGCCAGCCCTGCTGACAGATACTGAAATGAGTGGGGAAGCTTAAATAGAAACAAGATATTTTCATAATCTCAAAGTGTCTCCCTCAAAATATTTAGTAATTATAAGGGAGGAAATATTAAGTCTACAGTGTAGTTTTGGCAGATCCCATTTTATAGAAGTGACCAAGGTTAACACCACCAATAATATATATTGACATCAAGTAACTCCTGATATGATGCACCGAGGACACATTACCTATGTAGTATCCTTGTCAATAATTCATAATCTCTGTCAAATTATAACAATACATGCAAGAAACCCAAATTTGAGAGACTTTCAAAAAACAGCTGAGTAGGTTGACATCAAGAAAGATGGCAGAGTAGAAAGCTCCAGGAATCCATCTGTCCACCTAGATAACTATTGTACTGGCAGAAACTGTCTCAAGCAACAGCTTTGGAACTCTGGAGTCTATTTGAACATTTGCAGCTTCTAAGATAAAGTTTAGCTGGTAAGTTGTCTTTAGTATTGGTTGATTTCAGTCCTCAGTGTGGTGATAGCTATCCATCCCTTATCCCCAGCCCCATGGTAGGCAACTGTTTGGACAGCAACCTGTGTTTCTGGCACAGCTTGCTGGAGCCAGAGTGGACAATAAAGACTTTGTCCTCAATATTATTTAATGTTCTGATTATGAATTGTTACTTCTGAGGTATAGGCACAAAGAGTGGTTGCCATGGTATCAACTTTCACTGGCTCAGGTGGCTTCCAGAAGATTTAAAGGAGCCATATCTGTTCATTTGTTTGTTTGTTTTTTGGACATTCAAGAACTACCAAATAAATGAGGGAATTTAAAAAGGCTTGGGAAAGATGAAAGCTCAGAAAAAGACCTGAGATGACCTTAATGCTTTTACCTCAGGCTGATCCCTGACACAGAGACACCATACGATAATAAAAGAAATCATAGGAGGAGGGGGTCTGATTTCTAGAGTTACCACATTATAAGAATCCAGTGTTCTTTTCAACAAAAAAAATCACAAGACATACAAAGAAACAGAAAAGTATGGCCCATTCAAAGAACAAAATAAATTGATACAAAATATACCTGAGGAAGCCCAGATGTCAGACTTATTAGACAAAAACATTAAGCCAACTAAGTTAAAGTTGCTTAAAGAGCTAAAGGAAGACATGGACAAAGACAGGAAAGGATCATATGAACAAAGTGAGAATAGCAATAAAGAGATAGAAATTATAAAAAAGAATGAAAAAAATATTCTGAAACTAAAAAGTACAATAAAAATTGAAGTGAAATATATATGAGGGCTTCAAAAGCAGATTTGAACAAGCTGAAGAAAAAAATCAAATTTGAAGATAAGACAATTGAAATTATTGAGTCTGAGGAACAGAAGGTAAAAGAATGAAGAAAAGTGAACAGAGCCTAATTGGCCTTATGATACACTAAATGAGCCAACTTATATAGTGTAAGAATCTCAGCAGAAGAAAAGAGAAAGGAGCAGAGAGAATATTTGAAAAAATAATGTCTGAAAACTTCCCAAATTTGAGAAGAGACATAAATCTGTAAATTCAAGATGCTCAATGAATTTCAGGTAGGATAAACTCAAAGAGACCCACACAAAGACACATCATAATCAACTATGAAAAAATAAAAACAGAAACTTGAAATCAGTGAGAGAGAAGCGACTTGTCACATATGAGGGACGTTTAATAAAAGTGTCATTCAATTTCTCATCAGAAATCTTGGAGGCCAGAAGGCAGCGAGTTGATATATTTTAAGTGCTGCAAAACAACAACAACAACAACAACACACACACAACTGTCAACTGAGAATTATTCATTTGGCAAAACTGTGCTATAAGAATAAAGGAGAAATGAAGATATTCCTAGTTAAAAGCTAAGTGAGTTTGTTCCTACTAGAATTGCCCTAAAAAATTAGCTAAAGAGGTCCTTCATGCTGAAATTAAAGAGCACTAGACAGTAACTCAAAGCCTTCTGAAGAAGTAAGTAACATAGATAAAGATAACTACATAAGTAAATATAAAAGAATTACTCAACTTTGGTTCTTAACTCTATTTTTCCCTGTATGATTTAAAAGGCAATTATATAAAACAACAATTATAAGTTGATGTTAATGGACAGACAATATATAACAATGTAGTCTGTAACAATAACCGTATAAAAGGGGAAGGATAGAGGTGTATACCAGTAGAGTGTTTGTGTGGTATTCAAACTAAGTTGGTATTATTCGAGGTAGGTCCTTATAAGATATTAATTTTAATCCTTAAGGTAACCACTAAGAAAAAACTAAAAGAGTAAAAGAAAAGAAGCAAATTAAAATGGCACATTATAAAAATCAACTAAATACAAAAAGGAACAGTGATGGGAGTATTAAGGGGAAAAATGCACATAAGAAACACAAAAAAGAGTTAAATGGCAGAAGTAAGTCTGAAAGAGGGATCTTCATGGGTGGGGGCAGCCTAATTCCACAGCTACTAGCTGTGTCATACAGCTGGCGATATGTTTTTCAAGATGTATATCTTTTGAAATGGATGCCTCAGCAATCAAAAGCTTAATGTCAGGCACTTACACTAAAATTAAGCTTCATGTCAGGCCCTTAACATTGCATAGTTTAAGTGTATTTTAAATTAATCCAATTGATCTCCAGTTAAGAGCAGAAATTGGCAAAATGAATACAAAGAAACATAATCCATGTCCTGAAAACCAAAGATATCTTGAGAAAGAACGAAGTTGGAGGACTCAAACTTCCTGATTTTAAAACTTAGTACAGGGCGCCTGGGTGGCTCAGTTGGTTAAGCGACTGCCTTCGGCTCAGGTCATGATCCTGGAGTCCCGG